GATTAGATTCAACTATTTACATTTAGAAGGCGAAAGAGATTTGACTCAGAATCTTTTTATAAAACAACTTTTGGAAGTAAACGTAAAGAGTTATAAATAAAAAGGATTTATTTTGATGTTCAAAATTTGTCTTTTGGAATACAGAAATACCAACATTTCTGTTATGCAAATAACCTTGTAAATTTTAGTTAATAGATTTGTGATTATGGGATTTTTTTCACTGGTTATATTTTGGTGTGTAATGAGGAGCATTTTATGGGCAAATATTTTTCAATTTGACATAATTCTCTGCCATGGAGGATTTAATAGATTGTTGCAGCTTTAATTGTTGTGACCTTGGCTTGTCATCCTCAGGGTAAAGATGACATCACTGGGGAGCTGCTGATTCAGCACGATGACGATAAACCAGAGGCTCTGATGGCACGACTCCGACATTACAAGGAATTGGCAAAGCCTGTTATAGATCTGTACAAGTAGGTTAAAAGTTTCTTTTTATGCTGACCAATTTGAAATCAGAATTTCTTTCATGTGATTTTTTTAAAGACACTCGTATTTTCTGAAAATACTTGTAAACTCTTGCTTTTCATATATCTAATTGATGGTGTCATTAACTTACAAGAATCCTTATCTTAAGTAAGAATTATGTGTTTATTCTATTTTTTATCATATGATAGAATTACAGGGAGGTAAAGTGGAAGTATTTTGTGTTTTCCAGATATATAGTGCCTTTTTCTAGCATACTCAAGTAATTATGTTAACACCAGTTGTTATAAAAAATACCATATGAAATATGCCTTAAAATAAATGCAACTTCCTAGTTTAACACCTTCAAATTGGGCCTCTGTCTCTTTAAAAACTTCTGCTCCTTCTGAGGCCATCCCAACATCGCTCCTTTATTAACTTTTTAACAATGTTTTTACCAGCATTTCACTGAGAAGTCGCTCGTATAATGAGCTCAGCTTATGCACAGTTCCACCAGGTGTTTTCTAATTGCTGCTGGCTAGTCTGAAGGAGCTGAGTAGAGGAGACTCAGCAGAGGGCTGCTCTGCAAGGTGGAAGCTCGGTAGTTTGTAAACTGCAGCTCTGAGGAAGAGCTTTGTCTTCGATGGCAGTGCTATGTCCCCCCCAGGTGTTTTGAACAGCTGAAATGTTACTGTTTAGATTAAATGATTTCTCAAACATGCATGAAAGAAGCAAGGTAATTTAACAATCTAACAAGATGTAAAGCTCAAAATAGTCAATTTTAGTTAATACTGCCCCTTTTTAAGATGCATCAAGAAATCGACAGGTACCAAACGGATGATTTTCAAGGTGGTTCAGCCTGACCAGCAACTGGACAAAAACTTAAAAATATTATTCTTTCTGGATGAACAGTGAACGCACCACAGTAAGAATTACCAGATCGGTCTGGCAACGACACTCTTCAGAATGAATGTTGTTACTGAGGGACGAAGACTCAACGTTAACAACTTAAAGTATTAGTAAGACGGTGGAAATGAAGTCAGGGCAAAGACAAAGATGTAGAAAATGTTTTAAAAGGAATATTTATTTGAGAAGTGGATATGTTTCTGCAATTTATTTAGGATGAATAGCAGACATATTTTAGCAGATAATGGTTCAATGGAGTCCAGCAAAGTTTTAATTTGTCACGCTTTCAGCTTCTGTCATAAAACATTCTGAAACATGCTAAAAGCATGCAAAGCTGGTTATGAGTCTTGACCAAGGAGACAACGGCTGAGACTGAGAAACCCACCGGTTACCGGACCAACTCCTACATTCCTGTTTTTTGTCTGTGTGTGTGTGTTTGTTTTGTTTTTAGATTTTAATGAGAAACCTTAATTCCCATCTAAGTTTCTGTCAGTAAAAGTAAAAAGCTTAGATGTCAAGAAAATACTTTGTTTTTTTTACTTCATCTGGAATATTTTGACAGCCATAACCAATTCTATTTTTTTTATCTTCACTCAGATCACAAGGAGTGCTGCACTCATTTTCTGGAACAGAGACTGACAAGATTTGGCCTTACATCAACTCTCTCCTCAGCACCAAGATGCACACACAGCCGTCAGGCGCCCATCCAATCCAAACGCCCTGAGAAGACACCACAGAGAAGAAAGAGGAAGGTTTTTTTTGTTATGTTATTTTCTTTAATATTTTTTTCTACTTGCTCAAGTGAGATTCCAAGAAATGCACTAGGACACAAATCGACATGTTTGATTTTTATGAATGGTTGTGCGCAAACATTTCCAAGGCTTTCTACTAAAGATTGCCATGATTTCCTAATTATCACTTTGAAAAATTTGGGTTTTGTCTCTATGGGTTTTGAGAGAACTGTCTTTTCTTTTTCCTGTAGCTTGTGTGACTTTTTGTATTTTCAATCATACCTTTTGTAGAGACTTAAAAAGCAGAGCAAAAAAAGTCAATTTTTAATGGCAGCTCAAATATTTTCTAGAAACCAAAAATTGAGAGGTGTGATATACACAAGTTATATCAAACCCTCAAACAAAATGCTCTATCAAGGCAGATTTCCAAATTGAAAAAAAACTGTTCCATTTCCTGATAGTTTTTAGTAACCAGGCAAATCACAATTCACTAAGCAATTCACTGCAACTAAGCCAATAACTGCATATTCTTATTAAAACACTGCTGCAACATTTTTGCTGGCAGTTTAAAAATAACTTTGTGGCTGATTTATTGAGGTACAGAAGCTGATACTGCAGCTATCGCTGCCTTTCATTTGTTCAGCAGCCATATTGGATTTTGGGGTGGTGACTTGGTGAGGCCCCTCTGACTTTCCAAGTAGGACTTCCATCTTCACTGAGCATTCCATATGATTGCTTCAAGCTTTAAACTGGAAAAATGATCTTCCATATTTGTGCCCCAACATGTGCCTGATGGCAGTTTGTTATGTAGCAAATTAGTTACAAATGTACTGCCATGTTTTTCTGAAAGTTTTTGACCTAAATGAGCTCTGTGATTCTGTATGCAGTTGTTTCAGAGGTATTGGGAACTGGATGAACCTCTTTGGGTTGTTGATGAATTAGTTTCTCTGGAGGTGTTAAAACTAATGCCTTGAATGTTGTTACATTTCTTTAAATGTACTCTGGTGTTGCCTTACGATTTCTCTATAAAGTGTAACATTTCCCTGTTGGTGCATATATGAAAATTACTTTTTGTTATGATTCTGACACTGTTACAGTCTCTTCGGGGGCTCTTTTTTATATTCTATATCAATTGTCATTGCAGAAGATCTATCTTTGCTAGCTTTGCTTTACAGCTGCTTGCCATAGAGAATAGCTTTGGTTCCATCAGTTACAGTTTGCCGTATGTAATAACTTGGTAAAGTATTCACCAATCTCTGCAGCTGACAAACAAAGATAAGTTTGAATTGTTTCTTCAGTTCTGTGACCTTATGGTTCTGCTTTTAACCAAACTCTGAAGTTCCAGCTTGAAGCCTATAAATAGCAGCTTTAAATCAGTGACAGGCTGTAGCGGACACAAAATTTTACTATATGTTGTCTCTCTGTAGGTAGACCAAAGGGAAAGAAACTGTAGGATAAGAACCAACATGGAGCAACTTACTTAAAGCATAGCATGCATGCTTTAAGTAAGCATGCAAGCTATGGGATCTGAAATGAATGGTTGAGCAACTAAAGTCGTGAAACTACAACGCAACGCTACACAGCTTTTATGTAAGGCCACAGAGACATTTCTGCCTTGTTTTCATATAACGTGGTTAAAACGAAGTTACATTCCAAGAACAATAAAACTATTGTCGAAAGCATGACTGCTTCTTGTGTGGTTAATCAAGTGAGTGTTGCAACTTGTGACATTGTTCCTTCCTTATGTACAGTCTGCACACCTAAGCTGATTGTATTCTCTAAGTAATACTCTACACACTCATTCATGTTGGAGTACAATAGGTGGAATTACGTAATTCTCATTCTTCAGTGTTGAAGAACCTGTTGATTTAGTTACAGTCCTATAAATTACAGTGAATTTGAATAATCTATCATATGTTGCTGTTCTGGTATGATTTGCATATCATTTGTGTCATTTAGCTACTATGTATTGGTAGAGAGGTTATACAAGATCAAAATCTTATAGATTATACGATTTCATAAAATTAACAGAGGTCCAGGGGAGTTATATTTCCCAGGTTCAAGGAATGGTTACCTGGTTCAGTTGCAGTGTGTATCAAAAATAACTTTAAAAAGTTTTGGCTTTGCATCATAGCCATATTTGACATCTCAAAATCTAGAAAGATGAGGATGAAAAGGTCTTTCATATTTCAGAAATACAGAGACTCCAAGCACACATCCCAGGGGTGCACCACTCCAGTGCTCCAGATACTGTCATTCAACTTTTAGATGCATACCTTTTCTCCATCTAATCAAATGAATGACTGGTTACCATTCCTCTTCAAAGTTGAATGACTGTAGAGGGAATTCAACCATTTGATTCAAGTGTGCTGGAAAAGGTATGCATCTAAAAGTTGCAGGATAGTAGCTCTCAAGGACTGGACTTGTGTACTGTTCATGTAAACAAACAAAAGAATGGCGGTGGCCAAGAAATTTCCTCATAATAGGATTGACTTTGTAAAACAAATGTGCAAGCTGGATTGGGCAATTCATGGAAAGACAATAAATTGATGCAAAAAAAAGACAATATTAAAATTTCATCAAAAGCTGCTCCAACAAAACATTATTTTGGGGTGCACATGCTTTTGAAATCAGATTGTTGCAGAAGTTTTTACTTTTATTTTTCAGATTTGTCTGTTTTTCAGTTGAATTACCCATGAAGTAGGTCAGACTTAAGGTGGGAATAGTGTTTCTTCCTGAATGCCTAACTGCCTGCCTGCCTGCCTGTCTGTTTGTCTGTCTGTTCCTCCTCTCCTAATCCTGGGGGATTTGTAAGTAAAGCCAATGTGCTTTAGAGCCTGGGTTAAACTCCACTCCACTGTCTGACACAGATTAAAGCTTCATCTTCTGTGTTTACCTTCCACATGAGGTGCAGCTCTGTTTGTGTTTGCAGGGCTCAGCTTTAGATGAACACTTTGCTCTAGCATGATGAATTTACTTCAGTACATTCTTTCCAATGAATTCATCCATCTTTAGTGTTTGTTTCAGCCTGGAAATACGATGTATAGAAGTAAAAGACTCAACAGTTACAATGACAGTGAGCAATCAAAACAGCAAAATCCAAGATGACAAAGCCAAAGCCAAGTGGAGGAAAAGTGTTATTTCACTTAATAACAAACAATTATTTAAAAAAAAGCAATTAAATAACAATTACACAATAAAGAAAGCTATCACAATGGACCACAAGACAATCTGAACAAAAATATTACACATCAGTCAGACGTCTGACTTGCATTTATTGATGACATTCTTTCTATTTGAACATAATTTGTCAAAAAATAGTTGAGTTAGTTTGGAAATGACCAAAAATAATACATTATTTTACTGAATTGTCTGCAATTATGTTTTGCAAAACTAGTCATCCCAGTTAAGCTTTATTTTGCTTAACAAACCTCAGGTCATTTTAAGACCAACACAAAGCAGTCTGATTTGATGAAGTGAACTGGATAGTTGCAAGTCACAGATCTCCATCAAGATTAAATTTTATTTCAAATGTATGATGGAGCAACCAGAAGGTTGCGCTGGATTGTGTTTATGGGTATCAAGATACGAGGAGCTAAATACAAATGTATGCCACACTTGTCAGACTTTTTTTTTTTTAACTGCACAGCAATTTTTAAAAGATTTTTTTGCACTTCTCAAATATGCACTATTATGTGCTGGTCAGTCAAAAATCTCATTAGACACACGACAAAACAATGGAAAGTATCAGGGTATGAAAACTTCTGCGATTTGTCAGATTTTTTGTTTCTGTCACTAAAATCCACTCCATGTTTTCCTGCTCCAGTCAGGAAGCGCAGAGCGCCGCTGCTGGACAGATCTATGAACACTCTAGCCAATGCTGCCCTCTTGCTTTCTCACATCCACATGCACTACAGATCTACCAATGGCAGTCCTGTTTTCTGGACCTACGCCAAAGACGCGTTTAGCGGTGTGATGATGCAGTAGCTCGGCACCTCCTCGGCTTCACTGACAGGTGAAACTGGGATCTACCTGGAAATCCCTGCAGGGGTGCCCAGTTTTCACTGGGTTCTTGACGCCTTGACCCTTCAGCTGACAGTGAATGACAAAGCAAAGGTCAGTGCGTGTGCGCGCGCGCGCAGCCGGGATTCAAAGCGCATCTCCACAGCGGCACAAGACGGCGCTCCTGGGAGAATGATAGAAAGCGCTTTGAAAGGTAAAAGTCTCCTCTGGACTGTCAGTTTGTGGTCATCTCTTTGATTTTTCGATAGGTTTCTGTAAACCCCAGCTTTATTGTTTCGCATCATTACAACAGAAAAGACGAGCACATCATGATCGGAACCTGGATGTTACATAATATTAAGCTACCCTTACAAATCGTGACCACTCACACTGAAAGCGCATCTTGCGCTCGCATGGCAGCCGCGTTATTTTAATGAACATGCACATATTTCAAGGTGACATTATGTTATTTTTCTCGAGGCATAGAAATAAAATAAAAAATAAAAGTTGGGTTACGTCGCCCGGGCCTGTTTGGGACGCACACAGCCGGGTTATGAATGACATCATTTGGGATATTTTTGTCACGAGTGTCGATCTTTCTAAACAAATAATCTATTCTCATAATTTTTGAACCCATTGTGCGGAAATTCCACATAATGTAATTTCAATCGATGACTTGGCTGAAAGAATAGTGGGAAGGCTGCTACTTCAGACAGTTGGATATTTTTGAACCCATTCGTGCAATCCATGTTTTCAGGGGAGAAATAACAATTATTCATACACCAGTTTCTATGAAAAATAACGACATGAAAGACGTCTATCTTTAATTAATCTTATCGTTGCCGGGGAGATATATCAGTCGTTTTTCTGATTTATCAAAACCACCAGCCTTATTTATCAGGAAAAGCTTTATTCTAAGAGGACAGCTCCTCTTCCGCTGTCCAACTGCGCACCGTCACATCACGTGAACAGCTTAACAGCGCTTGGTTTAGCTCCATGTTATGATCATTACTCTGGGACGTGACAGGCTTTTTTTTTTTTTACAACAGTAATTACTTTCTTGTCAGAAACGAGCTGAACTCCACTGAAGTACAATAAATCACAAAATGCTTAAATCTTTGAACATTTGACAAAAGTGCAGCAGTGAAACTATGAACAATTAGTTATAACTATAACTATATAAAAACTGCATGTATTTGTATTGATCCCCTTTAACCTGATACTCTCTAGTTAAAATGTACAGAAAACACTGTCTATCATGAAGACTGCAATAACTCACCCATAATTGGAGTGTTTGACAGGCGTTGACCCTAAATGTACAGCAAGAGGAAAAATGGTATAGTTTAGATCACTTAGCATTAGAATGGGACCAGACAAAAATTCAGTTGATGATCTATTGCAAAACTTGCACTATTATGCATTACTTTTTATTAACCAGTCATGCAGAATCCCAGTGAAATACACTAATGATCATGGTTAAGAAACAAAATGTGAAAATGTTTTAATTCAATACTGCTTTATACTTTGACAGGACACTGTGGTGTCAATGCAAACTGTGAGTTAAAAAAAAAAGACCTGAGAAGCTAATGCTACAGCTGCTCAGTTGAAGTTTATTCCTAATCCTTCAGCTGATCCAGCAGATTCCTTGATTTTGCTTTAACTGTTATGTGGATAATTATTAATCCTTAGTAAATACTAGAGAATGGTAGTAAAAACCAGTAAAGGCTGTGGTGGATTCAGAATCATTCTCTGTCATGTGTCATAAAGCAATTTAAGTTTCTGCAGCATATTTAAAAGCACATAAAGAGTTTATAATGCATGCCCAAACTTCCAGGAATGTTGCACAAATAATTTGCAAATGATTTTCAGCACTTTCCTTAATAAAACAATGTTCTTTATGAAGGAGATGTGTAGAGAGACTTGATATTATGAAAGAAAAAAAAAAAACAAGATCTAGAGCATGCTCTTTGTAAATTTGAGCCATAAAAACATACCTTAAAACATCTGTCAGTGTGAAGAAAAGGCTTTTAAACACTGGAGAAGTTGCAAAAAGTGCACAAATAAAGTTTAACATCTAATACTTGTTAGGATAACTTGCAATGGATGAAGGACTATGATTAGCTATAAGAAAAAAAAAGTAAAAGTAGTGACCTTACAACTAAAAATCTTAAAAGTGTGGTGTAAATTTGTATCCAACCCTTTATGAGTGGTATGTAGTTTCCAGCTAAGATAAGACAGTGTTACTGTCCACAGTGTTGTTGTGTGAAAGCAGCTCAGAAACCAGTTTTTCTGTTTCTCTTACATGACAATAGGTCAGTAAAGTTGTGCCTTCTTATTGTTGACCGTCACCGTTTGTCACCCATGTTAGTAGCGAAGTTGTTGCTCATTCATTTGAGGGGACTTTTTTTTTAATGTAGTGCCTTTCCTAAGTATTTATTTCCCTGCAACATTTTTCACAGCCACAAGCACTAATGTATTTAATTGATATTTAGGATGAAAAGTCTGAAAATCTGAAAAGTTTGACACATTTTGTTGCAGTTCAACTGGAAGTCTTTGAGGCCTTTGTATTCAGCCCATTTACTCTGATACTACTAAATACAATACAGTGTAGCCAATTGGTTGCACTGGTTTACTATTAGCTGTCTGCTCCACAATAATTGTGTATTAACTTAAATACAGCATCTCCACTGTGAAGTACAGTGGTGGCAGCATTATGCTGTGGTGTTTCCTAAGAAGAAACAGGGGAGCTGGTGGGAAAAAATAAGGAACCAAATGCAGAGAAAGCCTGCTGAAGGCTGCAGAAAAGACTCCAAAAATTAAAAAATGCACAAAGCACAAATCTAAAATAAATAAAATTACCTACATAACAAATACATGTCTCCATCTATAACATACAAGCTCCATTCATATCTGACAAAAATTAAATCTGGTAAAAGTAAAACATTATGCTAGCATTTTATTGTTTAAAAAAAAGTCACAACCTCAGGAATGAAAGATTTAAAGGGTATGATTACTTTTGTAAGATACAACAGCTGCTAAGTATTAGTTTATAAGACATTTTCTAACCATTAGAAAAAATACCTCAAAAATTACTTTAATGCTTTTATCACAATTTGCACATTACTTTACAGATATCAGTACACTCAAATACTTTTAGCTACAACAAAGCTAAATGGTAACAATGCAAAAGATGAAGGAAGGAAACTAATTATATTTTTCACCTTTCATAGAGCTGCTGCACATGTTTGTTGCCTGTTCCAAACATGCAGAGTGGAAAAGAATAATGGCTACTGTTAGGCACGGTTAGTCACCGGACAGGAAGGTAATTTGCATCAGTGTAGTGGGAGCACGTAGCATCCGGTTATGGAGCGGGAATCCTCCGTTTTGCACATTCCGTTCCCGCTGTGCTTTGAGCCTCCCGTCCGCTCTCCTAAAAAGAGTTTCCCAGGCTCATGTCCTCTTTTCAGAACCATGCAGGGTTTCTGTTGCCAGGGGACAGGGCACAGGAAGGAAGCATGCCATCTTTGGGCTCAGATTGGCTCTGAACTGACCTGGGGTCAGAATAGAAAGATGCACAAATTTACAGTGGCACGCTCTATTTTTCATTCTGATGTCTGACCACCAGAGATAAATTGTCTGTGGCTTAGATTTGAAATGTTATTTTCTACTAATACAGCATATTGTTGTTATTTTGCAATTTTATTCACAGAAGAAATGTTTTTTTTTTTTTTTAAGAAGTCCAGACTCAGAATTTTAAGATATTAGAAATGACTCCAAAAGAAATCTTGTTACCAGCTCATGGACATTGCTGTAAATTATACAACCCACTGGCAAAATGTATAAAACAACAATTAGAGAAAGTTGTTCTATGAAAATATGAAAAACAAATAATGAACATAAAATACAGTCTATATTTCTGGCTTTGTAAAATTACTAAAAATATCAAATTTCATATTTGACATTGATTGACTTTTTAGATCAAGTAAAATAAACTATAGAAACATGAATATTGACAAAAAGATATTGTAATTTTTTTATTTTGTACTTTGGTGAATTTTATGACGCTTCAGCGGTCTGAACCTTTTAATGTTTGTTTTGCATACTGTACACCGGTGTGCCACTTGACCATGTCTCCCTTGAAAAAGAGATTAAATCTTTAGGTACTTTCTGGTTAAAATAAAAAAATACATCACATTTAGAACTTTTCTGGACCTTATTTATCTGACAGCTTGCAGTTTTTATGACATTAGCATCACTAATAGGGGTACAGTTGGTAGAACTGTTGCCTTGCTACAGCCGGTTCTTGGATTCATATTGTGGTCTGGGGTCATTCTGCATGGAGTTTGTATTTTTTCGACAAGCACGAATGGGTTCTTTCAGCTTCCTCCCACAGTTCCAAAACATTACTGTGGTGTATAAATTACCCCAAAGTTAATGTATGTTTGTCCTGTGACCTTCTATGTTGCTCTGTGATGGACTGGCGACTTGCAAGGATAAGTTAGTATAGATGATAAATAGATCAACTTCACTTTGGAAAAACAATATAGCAGCTTTGCAGGGTGGAAGTTCTCCATGCAACGTATGTCAGTTTCCACAATACATTTTCAATGTGAATGGATCTGAGTTTCCTGATTGAAGTTGCAATTTTTGCATCACCATCATCATTCTGTTACATTTAGGAAAACATACCTCTTGATAAAGTCCTTTTTAACCAAGTTTCTTTTTTAATTGGTGAAGTATTTTTAAATTTACATTCATGATTCCATATTTTTTCTCAACTTTATCTGAGAAAAGATGGGAAATCGTTTTTGCTCCAGCTGTCTAAAATATTATTTTCACAAAGTTGATATGCTGTAGCTGTTTTCTCTTATTGTTTTAATAAAAATAATAAAGCTTTGCATTGTTTGTTTGAAAATCAATCCGTAAAGCCACATGAAAAAGTGGGCTCATCCCAGCAGCTGATTGGGGGAATAACAAGTGCAGCGTTACCGTTAGGGGACCAGGAGCTGAGCTGGGGTGGATTTCCCTTTAACTTGGAGAGCAGCAGCAGCATCAGCAACAGCCGGAGCTGGGAGACGTAGTGAAATGCGGCGCTGAGAAATAGAGGAGGCGAAACAGAGAGAGGAGGGAGGAGAGGGAGCAGAGCTACCGATAGCATTTCATATTCTCAGAAAGCAGAGGAAACCGGTTGTCCTCCCATCCTCGGACATGTGCTGCACCCGGCAGCAGCAGCAGCAGCAGCAGCAGTAGCAACGCAGGCGGCGGGGTGGTGTAGCAGCCTACTCGTCATTTTGAGGCTCCTCTGGTCTTTTTTTTTAAATAATTTCCCCCGCCCCCATCCTTGCGTTCTTTTGTAATGAGCTTGTTGGGAGCTTACAAGAAAAAGACCAGTTACGATGGCTATGAATGTTTGCAGCTGGTCGATAGCGGCGGAGACAGCTTCGGCTTCGGCAGGGGGAGCAGCAGCGGCGGCGGCGGCGGCTCCATCGCGGCCACCCTCGGACCGAAGGCAGGCCCACTGAGAGAGGAGGACTGCAGCACCATGGACAGCTCAGGTAGGAACCCTCGGCGGCCCCCCGGGCAGATTAGATGATGTACTCTGATATGGAGAAGGCTAGAGTAAAGATGTGATGACTTTACAGAGTGTTAATGCGGCCTGTCCCGGTGGAGAGCCAGCCTGGAACATTATTCTAGCTAACACTGAAGTACACACTGAAGCCAAATGTAGGCTTTTCAGTTGGCTGTCCTCTTGAAATTAACTTCATATTTTCATGATATCAAGATAATACACTGCAAGTGGAATTGACAATCTTAAAAAAATAAAAATAAAAAAAACTCTATAGGCTGCAAATCAAATTATGAATACACACTTTAAATAACATTTAGTTGTCCTAGTACTCATAAGAAATTATATGAATGTCAATATTAAGAATTGGTCTCAGGCTTCAGAATAGTATTTCAGGATGCAAATCGTTAGAAATTATAGATTGTTGTTCAATGAAGCAAATGAAAGCATCATCAGCTCGGAGAAATATGCAGGATTTAACTGTTTATATAATTATTAAAGTCAAAAATCATCGATGTTTATGAGTGATGCACATTAGGAGTGTCTCTTATCTATTAGAGTGGATTCTCTGAGGTGGGGGGGGGGAGAGGTTATGCCAGTGGCCACACCAAATAAATTAGAGACACTGATCAGGCTTTTTGGCCTAATTAGCCTGCTGATTTTCACTGATTCCCTTATTTTTTGATGGAAGGAACAGTTTAAAACATGAAAGATTTGCAGTATAGAGATTTATCCTTAAGGTCATTCAAATTTTCACAATATTCAAAAACAAAGTCCATCACAGAATGTGTTATTTATTTATGAATTTGTAGATAGCACATAGTGGTAGTTTGAGTTTAATTAATTTAATGATTAAGTATCTCCCCCCCAGATTTTCTAATGTTTTACCTGAACTGATTAAGGAAAAATCATCCAATTCTTATCTCTGGTCGATTGAGTGGTGCACCTTTACTAGAAATGTTGCCATCTGTACTGACAGGCAGTCTTTTATGCAAAAGTGTGATAGGATGAATTCAGAAAAGTAAATGACCAGTTTCAATTAGTATCTGTATATATTCAATTTATTTTATTTACATATTTGTCCATTTTAAATGTTCACCACCAACTGACTTTTTCACCTTACCCTTAATATGACAAAAGCAAAACTCTGCTATGGCTTTTAGTTTGGTGTACCACCTAAAAACTACTAATGACCCCACGTCTGGACATCCCATTAAAAAACTAATCAGACAGGCACCCCGGATCTATTTGACTGACATTCTTTATTTGTAATTAAAATGCATGTAAACCTAAGTAGTATCTATTGGTATTTGAAATGTGAATAAACTTTTCTTGTTTTTTGTTGTATTCAGCAATTGCACAGATTGAAGTATGAATAATCATATGAAAATTGTACCAGATACGTTATTTTTGAAATCAAAATGGGTTTAATTAACAATAATTCAAATCTAATGAGAATAACAATTGGAAGGAAACTCTTTGCTTTAGCATCTGGTGTAGCATTTCTGCAGTGCTGTGTGCAGTGAGCCTGCCTCCAGGGATAAATGTTTTTGTGAAACAAAAGAAGCTGCATGAGGAGAGTGGGAGGGTCAGTGTGGCGAGGGGAGTGGGAGTGGGGAGGGGGCAAAGGGGTCCCTCATGTCAGATGTGTGTTTGGCCTGGCGGGCCTTGCCCACTCACTTATACATAGTCGTTTTGATGTTTGTTTGCGCGTGTGTATGTGTGTGTGTTTCTGTATCCATCTGCCCCACTTTCACACAGTCGGATATTGAAAGCTAAAGGTTGGCTCTCTGGAAGGAGGGAAACACGTTCAAACAAGCCATTGATCTCTCTGGCAAAGCCAAGAGCTCTCAGCCGACCCACTCTCTTTCTGAGTGGACGGGCTTTTTTACCTGATCGAGTCGTTATCAGAGCCTGCTCCGGTGTCTGCATTAGCAGGCCTCGTCACTGTAAATGGCTCACCAGGCTGCAGACTCCCACATCCATCTGGACACAGAGGGGAAAAAAAGGGACCAGCAAACAGAATAACAAGGAGCAGGCAGATTCAAACAGACGTGTCTGGAAATGATGTAGAGCAGAAAGAGATCAAGGGATAATTCCTTCACATTACAGTCAAAAGGAGTTTATGTTATACTAAAGTTAGGGAAACAACACAGAGAAGACAGGGCATGTGGTTCAGATTCAAAATAATTCATACTATTTTTGAGCTTTTTGTTTTTTTTTTTGTAGAGAATGGAAATCTTTCACAAATATAAGTGAATATTTTTTGGTTATTTTTGGGCTTTACACCTCTAGCTGAGGATAATTTTTTAAAACATGTACAAAATGTTCAAATTTGTGCATTAAAAACTATTTGCAATATGGAAAAATAAAAATTGAGCAGCTGGTTTGTGATGTTTTAAAATACTCTCATTGTATCTCCTTGCAGTTACAGTAACTCCTTAAAACTACTTAACTACTGCAACTCTTTAAAAAGCTGTTCTGACAGCTTTGGAATTAAGATTATTGGACAAAATGGCACAGTGAGCTGTAGTCTACACAGAAATCCTCCCTCAACATGATCCTGTCATGTTTCTGATAAGATGATGGAGCTACTGACATTTTCTCCTCCACAGCATGGCTGAAACTAACGGTGGAGGTGAAGAAACCTCATATATTTAGAGAGAAATCCTTCAGATTGCTATGAAACATCCTCGTGGAAGTTTTCCAAGTTAGCCATAAACAAGCGCCATTAGAATGGTTTTGAGTGTCCTCGATGTGGTCTGAATGTTGGCTGTAGTTTTTCTTTGGATTAGTGGAAGTACTGGAAGTACTCGAAGATCAGTATGTAGAGATACTGGAAAAACAATATATAGAATGTAGAATAACTTGAGACTTTTTCATGACATTGTATATGAACAGCTGCTATATTTTCTCTTTTCCTTGTTCAACAGAAGATAAAAATCATATGAAGGTGCGGAAAAGGGAACAAACTTTAATTAAATAAATCTCTGTATGCCAGACATACTGACAGCTTGGAGCTGCAGCTTATCAGATCTGTAATGCCGTTGTGTCATCCTTTCTGTAGCTTTTAATAACCAGGAAAGGAGAGCTATACCTCTGGTTAATCTGTACGGTGAATGACTAATAATGTGTCAACAGCATTATCTATAGTTAGGCCAATTACAATTTATTTGACAAGGCAGTCAAACAAAACCAGGCCTGGGAGTGTAGGAGCACTAAAATGCAATGAAGCTTTATTGTTTACCTCTGTTTGTGTCAATGACATTGGTCAGTATAATGAAACAAAAAAATGGTTTGAGGCTTTCAGAAAAGGGCGATGCATTCGGAGAACCTGCTAATCTGACTGGAGACAACTAGTAGCTTCTGTTTTCTTCTGTTTCACTTTTAATTTGGACTCCTCAGCCATTCAGTGATTTATATACTAACAGAAGTATTTTAAAGACTATATTCTGAGCTAAAGGGAGACAGTGTAAGGACTTTACAACTGGGGTGATGTGCTCTATCGTCCTGGTTTTATTGAGAATGTGAGCAACAGCTTTCTGGATCAGCTGCAGCTGTCTGAGTTTTTAGGCAAAGTTGTAAAGACACTGTTGCAGTAATCAATGTGTTTAAAGATAAACACATAGATGAGTTTGTCTAGATCTTGCAGGTACATTTCTCCTTTAATCCTGGAAACTGTTTTAGGTGATAGAAGGCTGTCTTTGTAATTGTCTTTATGTGTATCTGAAGGTTCAGGTCTGAGACTTTCACTATACCCAGACTATGGGCTTGGGTATAGTGAGAGACTATACCCAGGCCTAACTATTACAGCTAGTTCCTAGTTTTAATAGTTGAATAACTTGATCACTCTTCTGTAGGTTCAAAAATAATAACTTCAGTTTTGGTTTTGTTCAGCTGAAGAAAGTTATTTCACATCTACGCATTGATTTGTTCCATGCATCTGCTCAGTGCTTAAATGGGTTTGTAGTCACTTGATGATGTTAAATATAGAGATGCGTATCATCTGCATAGCTGTGGGATTATTAATTGCTATAATCTGAGATAACAGGAGCTCATAGATATTAAATAAGAGGGGTATCTTGGGGTACCCTGAATGTGACTTCTGCCCGCTCTGACGAGAAGCTGCCTTTGGTCTGTTCTTTAGGTAAGATTGGAACCAGTCAAGTACTGTATCAGAGAATCTGACCCAGCTCCCTAGTTACTTCAGTAATACGTCATGGTCAACAGTGCTGAATGCTGCACTGAGGTCCAACAGAATCACTGCTGTGGTTCTTTCACAGTTGGAGCTTATTTGATGTATTTATGGTTGAGTTAGTAGAACAGGGTCATTTTGTTTTGTTTGGACATCACATTGATACTGGATTGGATTAACTCTCTACTATTTTGAATTTTCTCTGTAAAGCAGTTAGCAAATTTCTTACAGGTCATGATAGAGCCCCTCCAATCAGAGGAGGGGCTGTTAGTCTGTCAGCCATCTTTGGTTACCCCACATATTTTACGTCATCACCTCAGATTGTCATCAGAAAATCCAATCCATGTTGTGCACTGATGATTCCAATCTGTCTTTTCTCTTGCTGTTTAAGAGAGTCAGCTCACACTTCTACAACAATAAACTGTAGCACTTGCTGAAGGTGATTTTTGCTGTTCAACAAGTTATTTTATTACGCTTGATGATGACATGAGACCACCAGTTGTTAATTGTTAATATAAGTGGATTCCCTTCCACTGCCTGGATATAAGGAAAATTATGACACTGCTGTTGCTATGGTGCAGGTCGCAGATTGAAGTGGATGTAGGCAGGGACCGAAAGGAAAAGATGAGGGAGAGAAGCCCTCAGATCACCAGTCGGGTGCTGACTCAGATATAACAGTTGGATGTCTTCCAACATTCGCCACAGATACACACAAGTGCAGATGGTGTGTAATTTATTGAGTGTCCTGTTTTTGTGCCCTTGTGGATCAATCCTTTACAAGCAGATGTATTTATGCTATGACTCATAGGCTCATCATTTCAAAGTGAAATGTTAATGTATCTACAGGATATCGGCATGAAATAGGATATAAAAATATAGACTATATTTGTACTGCATTTAATCTAGGCAGTTTAACACTTTTATACATCTACACAACCTTTTGTGAAAACACAATATGTATACATGTTTACAAGAAAGAAAAAAAACTACATTTTCATTTATTTTATTTTCCCTCTTTATATACATTCACAATTAAATGTCTTTGTTGAGGACAAAGTGAAATCTAAGTCAAATGTCTGTAATGTGTGGACAAACTTTATGGATAAAGCTGATTCTGAATAATTTATAAACACACAAAAACAAAAATGATCTGAGACATTAAACTCAATTCTATAAATAACATGTTTTTTTTTCCATTGTTCACCTATACCCTTGCAGTAAAAAAATGCAAATTAGCTAAGGCTATAAATATTTCATTGTTCAGTATTTGCTTATAGTTGACACTTCTACCAGTGCAAATAAATAAGTAAAGAAAAGAAATGAAAAAATAATCAGACTATCAAACAGCAGTAGACTTTAAGATGCATTTTGTTCAGAATTGTCTCTAGGCAAACCTTCAAGTTGATTAGCAAGTCTAGTGGTTATAAATTAAACACTGTTAATTTGCACTGTTGAAGGATTGTAAAATGAGACACTTAATAAAAACTGGTTACTGCTGGTTGTCTGAAGTTTTTACCTTTAGACAATATTAAGCTTTATTCTAATCAAGTTGTCGTTTAGATGTTTTGTTTTTCTCACAAATGGCCAGTGAGTTGCTTCTGAGCAAATTCACACCAGTTTGTGAGTCAGTCTGGGATTTATTTACTTTTACTGGATTCATGTTTGCTAAATGTTCTGTTTTTTCAGATATGGACGCTGGCTATGGAGGAGGGCTGTTGGACATGGTGAAGGGAGGAGCTGGCAAGTTCTTCAGCAACTTTAAGGACAACTTAAAAGACACTCTGAAGGACACCTCCACAAAGGTCATGCATCAGGTCGCCACGTAAGTGAACACATCACTCCTGATGTGGAGTAATTTTTCGACTCCCTGCATGAATATACAGATCTTCTGCCCTTATTATAATCAAAGCATATATTTTCTCCTACTTTCAAGTCTTTCTGTTTTCATTCGGATTTTGTGTTATTTTTAGCTTTTGTGATGCTGCCGTACCACGCACCTAACAGAATACACAATCTATTTCAGTTTGATTGGCTTTTCAAACTGAAAAGCCAATCTAGAAGACTTTTTGACCTGAAATTGTCTGAGGATTTTTGATAATCTTTGCTGTAGATTTCAGCTGGTTAGAATTAAATATTGTTACATACATGAATAATGGGTTTTGTAGAAATCACTCTTGCTTAATTTCTACTCTTTATTTTGAAGACATTACTTTTCATATTCATTACATCTCAAAATGCCTCTTTGTTTTCTAGATGAGGGAACATCCATCATGTTGGATATAAAATGATATAGTACAGCTGTAAATATCATTTAATACTGTTGATGTTGATTCTGGAAACTGTCTGGAGTTTTCAGTGAACAATGACATAAAAATACACATAGCTAAACTCTACTTTGCATGCATTGTTTGGTTACAGTAAGTGTCTGCGGGAGCTTTAAGAGTAGAAATGCCCAGTGTGGATGGAGCGGGGGAAACGAGAGGTTGACACGGCTGGGTTGTTCCAGTGTGTTTGTGCACAGGCATCTGCTCTGGGCAGCACAAAACAGCCTCTGTGTAATCACAAACATACACTCACACATACACACGCATCCGTATGTGTCTTGACTCAGCACATTTTATGGTATTTATCCCCCTCTCGTGCTTCCCCTCCTCCAGTCATTCTGTCCTGTTTTCATCTCAGCTCCATCTCTCTGCTTCTCTGTCTTTCTGCTGTCTTTTTCTCCTCTTCTGGCTGAATTATTCATGTGAGCCCATTGTGCCAAATGGCCTGTGCACTGCTGATACTAACGTATTCATTTCATTCAGGCCATGCGTGCAGCGGTGTGTGTTTGAGTGGAGTGTATAGGTATTTGCGAGTGGGCGGTCATAAAAATAGAGAGGCGGGTGCAGGAGAGACAGAGAACAGTTCAGAATATTACAGAAACTTAGAGTCACTTATCAGAATTGCTGTTGTTATTTTTGTCCCTTTGTGCATCTGAACGCAGATTGTACACTTTGAATACCTGAGGACAAAATTTAATCCTGGACGAGACATCATGATGATGATGATGATGATGATGATGACTACGACGATGATGATAATGCACATTTTAACTTGGAAGCCAAATGATACAGTCTTCAACTTTCGCACTTTTCTCAAGTTACAACAGCATTGTTTATGTGCTAGAGACCAACACAAAGCAGTCCATAAAGAAAAATGACACGTAGTTTTCTGCATTTTCTACAAGTAAAAATCTTTAAGGTGTGGTGTGCATTTGTATTCCCTCCCCCAGTGTTATTTGGGTCTACTGGTTTTCTGCAAGCATTTCTATTACACTTTGTGTATTATTGGCCAGTAATGTCAGTTTTGGTCTTCTCTGACCAGAACTACTTTCTTTCATGTCTGCTATGATCCATTCATGACTTGTGGTGATCTTTAATCAGGATGTACTTCTTTCATTAACAGCTTTCTTCTTGCCACAGTTCCACAGAGGACAGATTTCTGGAGGGCACGTCTAGACAGGTTTTCTAAACCTGAGCCGTTAAACTCTGCCTCTTCTCTAGAACTACCATGACAAAACTGGTTTACAGTTTTATCATGCCGTTTCTTTTTTCACATTATGGATTCAACCATTTTATGTGAGATGTTCAAACTTTGGGATATTAGTGTAAGCCTGCTTTAAAATTCTCAACAGCTCCATCTTTTTCTGTCTGTGTTCATTGTCATTTGTAATGCTGTTTGTTTACCAATGATCTAATATATATGACTTTACACTACATGACTCATGAAGACAAATGGTGGCACTAGATTTTATTTTGGGGGTTGAGATTAAAGGGGGCTGAATACTAGCTTGCCACATTTTTCTGATTTTTACTAGTAAAAAAGTTTGAAAACCACTTGTTGGTTTCCTTCCTCTTCATAAATATACGTTATTTTGTGTTGTCATATTATTTAATGTCCCAACAGAAAACATACAGTGTGCAGTTGCAACATGACAAAAGGTCACTACACAGATATACACAGCAATTCAAAACATTTCTGTGAAGTAAATGTTACAGAAATGTGAAAATTGTTTATACGTGAAAGGCATCAAAATCTAAACTGTAAATTTAAACCTGTTTCAAAATAAGAATATTGTTTTTGTGCTTTCTAGAATTGTAATATTTGTATGAAATTAAGGAAGATAGTATCAACAACTGGACTATTACTGGACTGCATGGATAGTATTTGTTTTTAGTAGTAAATCCTCAAAGAGTTGACATTTGGTTTTAATTTCCCTTAGTTGTGTGCTGAAGATGTGTATTTTTAGAAGAAATTTCCCTTTGAATTCTGACTGAAAAGACATTCACTGGGAGGATCCATTCTCAGCGTGCCGTTTTTTTAAACCAAACTGTTTTGACGAAAAATGACATGTTCTGAAATAACCCAAGTCATTATATTGCTGCCTGTCTCCAGCAGCCATTGGGCAAATGGGAGGGTATACCCTGGACTGATGAATATTTAAACAAGTCTGAGAGAAAGCTAAACTAATCTGCACATTAAATATTCCTGTTCATATTTAAGCAGCACTGTGGGGACCTGTTTGAGACTCTTTCATAGTCCATCTACAAAGCAAAAAATCAATAATAAAAATAAAGACGGTAACTGACCGTCTGAATCTGAGTCCTCGTCTTCCTCTTTTTGCCCTGGATGCTCTTCTTCATGAATGACCTGCTGGCATCCAGGGTACTTCTTAGCAGTGCTTTTTATTTTTCAGTTTCTTCATGACGGTTGGCAAACGTATTGATGCATTAGCATCTCCCTTTGGTAACAGCTTTGCAATACAAGCCATTAAAATGTAGGACGTTTGCATACTGTTCCTAAAATTTTAATTTATAAAATAATTGGTCATCTTCTACTATGCAGAGTATCTGTTACATTCCTGTAACATTATTGTGCATCTGCCTTGCTTGTGTACAATATATACCCGATAAATGACACTTCAGCATTGTCTCTCCTCTCATCTTACACTGTGGAGTATCTGCTGTATATGTAATATGATATTTCCTTCTGTATTTCTCATTAGGAATCATAAACCTGTTTTTTGGTTGATTGGCGCTCTATGGGTCAGCGGTGGAGCTGTGGCACCCTGTACAGACGCATTTAGTCGTCAATGCAGCTGAAAACACAGGAAATAAAAAAAAAAAAACAATGCTGAAATGAAAGGCAAATGAAATTCAAAAAAGCACAACAAACCATAACTATTTATATAGCTGACTGTGTCACTAATTTTAGTAAAAGTTTAAAAACGTCTCTCTGGCAAGATATGCCCACACACCTCTGTTAGACATCTAGCCTGTTTTTTCAGCGTTTGGGATTCTAGAAATATTTTCTAGTCACTGTCTGTCTCGGGTGCTTTTTTATTTTATTTTTGTACCTCCTCACAAACTCTGCCTGTGCCAATTTGCAAAAATAACATCCCTGCAACTGTTCAGAGAGAAGTCGTGAGCATATTTGAATAAAGTTAAACTTTTCAGGCTGCAGTCCTTACTCTGCCTCTCATTTGACGCCCCAGTGACGCTCTTTAGGTTGCTGTGGACCCCAGTCTCATCTATATTCAAAGCAGCACAGCCTCTTTGTGTATGTACCTGCAAGAACAGAGAATCTGCTGTAGACTCAATCTGGGGCAAGTATTAAACAGTATCATTTTGAGGAAACTTCAAATGAGTTGGGATGGAACACATTCATCCCACCAGACAGAAACGCATCAATCTTCCTCTAAATTCATGCTGTTATTCTTTTATTTCGTTTTAACTTGTTTCTAATCATCCTGGTTTTATTGACTTGCTTTTCTTTAACTCGTCCAACATAAACTGTTTGAATGCTTGGAGTTTTCAAAAAAGTGTGGTAAAACAGATAATTTGAAGCTAAAATAGAACCGAGTTGACTTGAACCAAGGTTAGTTTTGAAAGAGAGGAGCTGTCTTTTTCTTTTGCACTCCACGTTTTGTAAATAGAAATTGGGTCACAGACTCGGAGTGCAAATATTCAAACAGTGTTTAGTTGTTGACGCATCACACTTGCAACAAAAAAACCCAAAAAAAACAGACATTTTTGGAGCGGAGTAGAATGAAGGAACCCAGATCAAAGATGAGATCTAACCCACTCTGTCTTAATTTGTGTTTCTCATCACTCTTTATAAGCAGCTTTGCAGATGTGCAATTTGTTCTAAAACTGTTTCATGCTCCAATGTTTACTTCCTAATCATAAAATACAAATTACAACTGCTGTATGAGTGGAATCATTTTTCAAATGGTGTCTTTGAGAAAGTTCACATCCATCCATCCTTCTGTACATACATTCATTCATACATACATAGATCCTTCCATCAATTCAGTCTTCGGACCATTTTTCCATTAGTCCATCAAAAAACATGTAATCTTTATGAGAAAAAGTTGAAACCTTGAATATACATCGGAAGTTTGGGAAAAAAAAGTTTTTAAAAGTGGAAATTCAATAATATAGATCTGAGTATATGATAATACAGCTTGTTGTGACATCATGCAGACATTTCCACTGGGTCCATATGTCAGCCCCATGAAATCAGAGAGGTGTTTGTTCGTGGTCAATCAGCTCCACAGGATTTTCTCATTATGCTACAAATGACTCAGTTATGCACATAGTTGGCACTCAAAATTTGTATTACTGTCCTGGTGTCATCTGCTGAAGTTAAAGCTCTATAATATCAAAGACATGTCAATCATGTCTCATTCATCATTATTGGGTCCATGCTGTTTACTGCAATTTCTCTAGTGCTGCAGTGGTGGATTATCTGTGTGTAAACAGTGCAGCTACTCCCAATTATAAAAAAGAAATATTACATTGAAGAACTGAAATGAAAGGCAATGGTGTTTATAAAGAATTCCCTCATGGCGTCCCTTTGATGCTGAGTAGCCCGGTAAACTGTTGTAATACTAGAAAAAGTCAACTTTTATTCACCCAGACTCACATGTGCCTCTGCTGCTCATAAACCTATCGAATCTAAACGTTAAGATTTGAATTTCAGGCAACACGATGCTCTGACAGTGATTAGCAGAAGCCCAGATAAATCTACTGAATGCTTGAAGTTTAATTCCTGACCTTGTCTTTGTGTTCTTGCCAGTTTGTAGACGCGACATTTGACCTCCTCTATGGATTTATGGAATCGGTTACCATGTTTTATTATGACCATCTGACACTCAAAGTCTGATCATTCCCAGAAACACAGGAATATAACATTTCATTCAATTAAGGTGATGTAGAATGCAGGAATGTGCAAAATAATTCACACCCCATTTCTATGTTTTGTAATATTACAACCACAAACATCAGTGTATTTTATTGGAATGTTATTTGGTAGACCAACACAAACAACAGAATTACTGTGAAAAATAATGGTCTATTGATGAAGAGGAGAACAATGGAATTTTAAAAAGTGTTTGCCATGAAAATACATTTATTTTAGGATTTTAAATCGGTTTTCAGGTAAAGAAAGGCTTTTGTCTTCCTATGAAGATTGTTTTTAACTGGACTATAGGTAGAACTGCATAACGTTTGCAATATTTATATTGCACACACATATATTGCCTGCGACAGACTGGCGACCTGTCCAGGGTGTACCCCGCCTCTCGCCCGGAACGTTAGCTGGAGATAGGCACCAGCACCCCTCCCGACCCCACTGAGGGACAAGGGTGTTCAGAAAATGGATGGATGGATGGATGGATGGACACATATATTGCGATGTCTATGTATATTCATAATACATTGTCCAATTCTAATTAGAAATTTAAAAAATGATTTTAAAGCCTTTTGTCTGTTTCAGGTACACTAAAGGAGAGCTGGACATTGCGTATATTACATCAAGGATCATAGGTAAGATAAAACTGGTTTTTAATTAACTTACTCTTTGTCTTTGTTTGACCTTCCTTTGTAATAATGATTTACATAATCATTAATATGACGATGGAGTGCAGAACGAAGTCAGCAGACAATGTATTGTGTCTAAACATGCATCAACATACCATTGATAATCATTCTCTAATGGTGACCTTTTTTATATTCTAAGTTTTAACCGTAATTATGCAAAATTCTAAAGTAAAAATTTTCTGAGCATCTCTTTTCCTTCCAGTCATGACATATCCTGCTGAGTCAGTCCAGATTGGCTACCAAAACCATGTTGAGGACATCCGCTCATTCCTCGACAGTCGTCATGCCGACCACTACACAGTTTTCAACCTTTCGCAACGAAACTACCGTGGCGCCAAATTCTCGAACAGGGTTAGTGTGATTATGTCTCGTATGTTTTATATGCTTGTTTTGGTTATTGGTTGCTGTGGCACCGAGTTTATTTGAATATAAACAGATTAATTTGCTTTCTGGATGGTGGCAGAGTGACACCAGAAGGACCAGCTGTTCAAGTCTGTTAATTTCTCCATATCAATACAGTTTCCTCATGATAATTGACACTTCAGGAAAGAAAGGTACAGAAACATTTGAATAAACAAAGAAATAAAAAGACAGTCTTTGCTGCAATTCCGCTTGTTAGACTCCCACTAAAGAGCAAAATGGCAAAAAGGTGTTACCAAGTTTTTAGTCTATATTTTCTTCCCAAAGTTTATGTATAAAATTTAATATAACAATGAATACGTGTTACTGAATTATAGAACATCCTTGTAACTTGTATTATTTTCGCAGATTATTTCTTAACATGAAACTTTTTTTCTAAACTTGATAAATATGCTGAAATTAAACACTGGATTTTTCTACATTTCTCAGTGCATTATTATGCTTCAACTATTAAATATGAATTTGTGGCAGTGGATATGTTTTTTTTATATTTATGTTTTCCTGATTTATACTGTGATATATTAATATATTAGTATTATATATTGATATACTAATATGTCATATGTTACTAGAATCAAAGGACATGTGACAGCGCATTAGTTTTTTACACCTCTGAGGCGAGAACGTCGTCGTCTCCTTTCTTCTGATTTGTGAGACTGATGTGAAGATGACCAGCACATGACCTGCTGTTACCGGGGACATGCTTTCTGCCTCCTAAAATGCAGCTGATTCAGGTCTCAAAACGGGGAATATTACCTGATTAATCCCTGTGCTATTGTCACAGCACACTTTTAGTTAGATAAATTGACCTTTATTTGCATAAAGCTGTGCAAGATTCCTAAAAATGGCATTTGTTAATTAAAAAATCTTTGTATTTATACTTTCTGTTGCTTCATTGATAGTAATAAGAGAAAATTGTTGATTATTTTTTAAGGTGAATTCACCACAGCATTTTTTCTAAATAACTTGTGTTATAGATGATATCCAAATACGACAACTGAGCCATTTTAATATGTTATTTTTTTAGGTTTTTTCGCCTCTCTCCATGGGGTCTTTCCTAATGGCATGCAGCACTTTTGCACAGCTGGGTTTGAATTAAAAGTTAAAGCCTTCATGGGAGCTCTCTTAATAAAATACTGCCACCCTGCAGCAGATAAAAATTGAAACGCTGTGGAGCATAAATACTTGTAGCAGATGACTCATCATGGCAACTGTTGTGTTGTTTTGCTCTGTGCTGCAGTTTCTGACCTCCACCTCTCCCTTTTCCTCCCCCCATTTTTTCATTTTCCCAAACTGTTCATCTTCCTTCTGCCTCCCTTTTTGTTTTGCTTGATTTCATCAACCCTTTTTCTCCTTGTCTTCTAATCTCTCTCACTCTTTACTGCTCGTTTCACCCCCATTTTGTCAAACCCTTTTCCAGGTGTCAGAGTGCAACTGGCCTTCTCGCCAAGCTCCTAGCCTTCACAACCTGTTTGCTGTGTGCAAGAACATGCACAACTGGCTCAAACAGAACCCAAAGAATGTGTGTGTCATCACCTGTTCGGTAAGATGCTCAAATCTCAATCAGAGCTTCAGATGTAGTTTTGAGTAATACTAAATACAGTTTTTACTTCCATTGTGCACCAAAAGAGTAACTCTGAAAATCACTTTGCACTCTGCTAATTTCTCATACCCTCACACACACACTGTGATGTGTTTTGGTTCAGACTGTGCAAACTGTCTCTGCTCTTATTTAGTGACAGAAACACTGGCATGTGGGGGGAGATGTTATTGCCAAGCTGCTGTGGTTTGGCAGTGGCTTGGCAAACTTCTCCCTCTTGCATAATCTTCACCAAATTTGTTTCTCTTTGAAGACATTTCCCACTGCTTCCAGTCCCCAAGAGGTTTGTGCTTTACTGCGACCTAAAATAAACTGCAAACAAGTTATACTGGAAAGAAAAAACTCAGGAATTTAAAACATATGTTAATATTTTATTAGGTGGGGATGTAATAATGCATTCAGCTTACAAGATGAGGCAATACAAAAGAGCCAAAACATTTTTTTTTACATTTTGTTCTATGCAAATAGATAAAATGTTTCATGATTACAAACTTTCTTAAAGAACCTCTGTCCAGTGTAGATTCAAAATATTTTTGGATTTTTAATTCGAGATAAACACACTCCAGACTCATCAAAAACTGTGAAGTAGCCCTTTAACATTGCAACATCGGGAAGGCCAGCTCTGTCTTAGGAGACAGAAGAACTTTAGTTAAAATATGAAAACGTCTCCCACTTCATGCATCAAACTGTTGTAGAACTATAGAGATCCTTCAGTGACAGACTGCTGCATACTAAGTACACAAAGTAGGGCTATAAGATATTGTTTAACCTTCTTTATTCTAACTAAAAGTTAAATGTAAGGTAAGGTAATTTTATTTATATAGCACATTTTCAGCAACAATGCAACACAAAGTGCTGAAACGTAGAAAAAAAGTGGCTCCAAATGATAGAGTTGTACTGCTCTCCTGTCAGACTTCCTATTATCTGCTAAAAGTCTTACCCTCTCCAAATAAGTAAAAGTCAGTTGTAAGGGGCAATAATTGTGGAAGCTGTCTGCTTTGTGTGCACACAGGATGGCCGTGCTCCCTCCGGCGTTTTGGTCTGTGCCATGTTCTGCTTCTGCCACCTCTTCAGCCACCCAGTTCCTGCCATGCAGCTGCTCAGCGCCAAGAGACCAGGATCCGGACTCTGGCCCTCACACTGCAGGTTTGGATCCATGAGCTCTGAGACGGATATGAAATAAATCACTTTCAGTGTAATAAATCTGTGATTACATGAGTTTCACTTTTAAATTCAGTGGAAGGATATTGAAAGAGGTCACTGGAATCAAATTATTTAGGAACAAATACTTTGAATGAAATAAAGAATGATTTTAAGTTTTTACACTGTAAATCAAACTACATTTTTCTGTAACTTTTATTTCCATACAGGTACATAGGTTATGTATGTAGCATGGTATCAGAGAAGCCCACTCTGCCGCACTCCAAGCCCTTGGTGATCAAAGCCCTCACTATGAGTCCAATCCCCTGTTTCAACAAGCAGCGCAGCGGCTGTCGGCCCTTCTGTGACGTCCTGATTGGAGAGACAAAGATCTTTACCACAGCTCAGGAATACGAGAGGATGAGGTAAGAAAAAAAATAAAAATTCTTACTTTCTAAACAAGCTGACAAAAACAAAATTAAATCGTTTTTGGAAGAGTAATGTCATGACATGTAAGTGCTTTTGTGTCGTTGCTAAAAATTAATTTTATTTGACTAAGAATGGTTTTCACTGTCTAAAAATGTTCATCTATGCTATACTGTACTATCTATACTATCCCCAAACTGTTCCTGGTTCCCATTTCATCAGAGAGCACAGGATCCAGGAGGGGAAAGTTGTTTTCCCCCTCGGTGTGAGTGTTCAGGGAGATGTTGTGGTTTCTGTCTACCACATGAGGTCAACGATTGGAGGGCGTCTGCAGTCAAAGGTAATGTTCCTTAGATTCCTGCAGCAAGATCCATCATAGGAAACTAATAATCATAGTAAAGGACACTAAGGAGTGTAAAATCTTCAACAATCTAATCAGTTGTTAGTTCTGTTTTTAGGAGCAGTGTTTGTGTTTGTATGTCTGACTGCATGCAGTGACATACAGTAATAACCTTAAACTTATTTGCCAAAAGAGTCTGCAATGACTTTTTAAATTATTCTTGTTTCAACAATGTGGAGCTGGCTAAAAATTAATCCTTGTCTTGTTTTTTTTGCTAGGTGTCCAACACTCAGATCTTCCAGATCCAGTTCCACACTGGCTTTATTGCTCCTGGAACCACCATGTTAAAGTTTAACAAGTGAGAAAAGAGGCTTCATATTTGTCCCACTTCTATGAGATAAATTAAGTAAAAAAAAACAAAAAAAAAAAAAAATCATTTTTTTTATTTGGAAAAATAAGTGTGACCACTCATTTCCTTTGCACACGCCGTATAATTCTCCGTAGACCGGAGCTCGATGCCTGTGACTCCCCGGAGAAATATCCTCAGCTGTTCCATGTGATCCTTGATGTGGAGGTGGAAGGAGTGGACAAGCAGAAAGACTTGACGCCACCGTGGGAGCAGTTTCCCTGTAAAGACCTGAGTCCCAGTGTGCTCTTCTCCGGCCACCAGGAGCATCAGGACGCACTGGCTATTGCAGGTATTCAAATGCTAGTATTTAATCCATGCTACATGTGGATTAATAGCAAAACTGAGACAACAATTACTCTGGGAACTAATTAATCTGACAACCTTTCAGAGCAGGAAAGTTGAAAAAAAAAAGTAAAATGGTACTGTTTTTTTATTTTATTTGAATTTATACAGTATTGTTTGTTCAGAAGCTGCTCTGTGTTCTTTAATATACTGCACACAATAAATAAATTGGATTAATTGAACATTTTTTTCTTCCTTTTTTTTCCTAATTTCTAATAATTGTTTTGGTATCATTTGACATGATTTGAGTGCACTTTCAAATTAACTCATTTATTTTGACTTTGAAATTACATAAAATTACAACCATTGCCCCGGCTACAAAATAAAGCAACCTATCCTATTTTACAAAGTCATATGAAAAGATTTGTCTAAAGCTGCAGCTTAAAATAAACACTGGGCTTGTTGCTAGTGTATCACATGCTTCTTTTAGCTTGTATTGTCAAAAGTCTATGGTGTACTTTTAAAGTAAATTCTTTTATGTTTTTGTCTTTTTCATTTCCATCTCTGTGTCGACTCAACTGTAACATCTGTTTATCTACGAGCAAAAATGCAAAAACAACTATCTTATGTCACTACATCTAATTAGTACCAATTTCTTATGTTAAGCTAATTTAATGCAAACTTGAATTTGATCCAGAAATTAGTGAAGAATGATTAGATAAAGTCTAAATCCATCTTCCAAAGTATTCTAAATTATCTCATTTTCAAAAATTCTACATTTGTTCTTTGTTGTGCACTTTCAACAACATATTAGTGCCTTCTTGTTTTAACAAAAATAAACTGACGTGGCCAATTTTTGTTCTTGCAAGATGAGATGGAGGGCTTGGATCTGGAGGGTAAGAAGGAAGCAGTTCGTGGATCTATTTAAGGAAACACACAGTGGTCATAGTTAACGAGGGCCTGGTTCAATTCAATCCCACTCATCCAGGAACTAGATTAAAATATCGACACATACATTTTGTGCTAATGGAAACTCTGTTTGGCTCTTTACTTTTATGATGTGCATTGATTGAATTGAAATTAAGCCCATGTTGTTATTAAGCAACATATCACTTTGGTAGAAACGTTCAGCTACCTAGGGACTTAAATGGATAATGAAAAACAGTAAAACCCGTCCACTGAAAGCCTTTGTGACAACAGCAGACAGTATTTTTAGCTTGTATCCAAAGTCAGAAGCCCTAAAACTACATAAGTTCCCTCTAAAAGTCTCCTATGAAAGCAAAAAAAAATAAATCTGTTTGTTATTCTACCAAGGTGAAATATTGCTCTTGGTTTACACTAGCTCAGGTCGACTAAATGTGGTAACAGGTCCATGATGACGACGTGTTCTGGGCATCACAGAGGGTTTCAATGGGACCGAGCAATGGCTCTGCTCTAAGCAGAGGATAGAGCTCCTGGTCTTATCTCTAAGACTGAAATCTGCCTTCCTGTTATCCAGCAGCTTAATTCTACAGAAGAAACCTTAAGAGTACTAAATCAGAATCTCTCCTCTATAAAGCAACACTTTTTCCTACTGTTCAATCAGACCTTTTTGTACAACTGTTTAAGTGCACAGTAGATTAGCTGCTGCTTGTAGCAACTATAACCTTTGTAAGCTCCCATTGTTCTCCAGTTTATTTCTGCCTCAGTTCCTCTTAGCCTGCTTTTTGCCTCCGTCTGCTTTGTGTGGAGTTATTCCCCGTGTATCTGCTTCTATCTTGTCCACACGTTGCATTGTCTAACTTGAACAGATTTTTCTTAGGGCTTCCTACCTAAAGCGTTTTGTTTCTATCATATCCCACCGAAGAACCAAGTCGGCAACACGGAGAAGGTCGGGCCCATTGTGAGGAGAGCGAGCCCTCCGATGATGAAATGTTGTCGCTGTCGAGCCAGCGAAGCAGCATCAGCGCTGCCTCTCAGAAACCAGAACCTGCAGCTCCAGTTCCTGCCGCACCGGCACCCACTGAAGAAGTGGACCTTCTTGGCCTGAGTGGGGAAGACATCAACCGCCCGTGCCCCTCTTCTCAGCCTGCAGCGGCTGCAGCCACTGACCTCCTGGGAGATTTGTTTGGGGCTCCGCCGCAGCCGGCCAGTGCGCCTTCATCCACCCAGTCCACTCCGCACAAAGTGGCCCCCAATTCTGCCTCACCGAGCCCGTCCCCTGCTCCACCAGGTGAAACGCTTGAAAATACATTCAACTTAAAAACAAATTTTAGGGGGGGGGGTGGAAAAACACATAAAAACCACAGTTATAATTTTTAATTTAGAAAATGTTTAGAAAACAGATTTGGATGTTAGGTGAATGTTTTGATTCTGTTGGTAATTTGCCATTAATAACTTAATACATTTGTTCTTACTTGAACAAAGTAGGAAACTGAAACTTTATTTAACAATTTTCAAAGTCTGAATAAGTATGAATGAAAAATGTTGTAAGCAAACATTTTTAAGTTGCATCCTTTAAACATTTAACATTTTCTCTGGTTTAACATTTTGATCATTTTATTTTTGGACTTAATAAAACATGAAATGAAATACTCATCTTTTTGTTGGCCCATTCTTGAAAGAGTATTTCAAGCTGAATCCACTGATCCGGTTTAAATTCTAATAGAATTTTTTAGATGATTCTAAATTTATTTGGTTTATCTAGTTTAGTCCGTCCAGTCATTCTAACTCTCCTTGATAACATGAAAACATGAAAAAAGTTTAGTTCTTATAATGTTTTGTTGTTTTTTTTTTAAATTACTTATTATTACTTTTTAAAAAGTTACTTAAGTCCCAAAGGAACAGATTATAACTTTAAAATAATCATTTGTCACAGAATTGGGTTAATGATTCGGGTTGTGTCCTGCAGCATTTCATCCTTTTGGAACAGCTCCTATCCCTAAGCCTCAGGAGATGATGGGCTCATTCCTCGGACCAGGTAATGTGGGGCAGCCAGACCCCTTTGTGCATGCTGCTCGTTCTCCATCACCCACCCTGCAGCCTACAAGCCTGGGTAAGGCATGCTTCTGCTGCTTTGCTGCCTTTTCACATACAAGTCATGTTAGGCATGTGTTATAGTATTGCTGTGCTGATTGCAATGTTATGCATTGTTCTGCTGCAACGCTTTTCTAGATTTTTTTGTTGCATTATGCAAGAAATGTGGTTTCATTAGTTATGCAGTTTATGTTCTGCATTAAATAGTTTGCATGCTTACGTACAGTTCATATATTTAACTATTTTATTTCCAGCACTTTCCATTCTGCATAGCAATTCAACCTGAATGTATTTACATTTTGTGATATTGCTAATTATTAAATTAGATTACAAAACAAATTAAAAAATGTCTGCAAAAGCCTTATAGCAACACATGTCATTTGAATCATTTTGTATTCTGGGTTCACTGTGTGCTCTTTCTACGGCCAACCTTTATGTGACCGTACAGGCAGAAGCTCCCCTGTCCCACCCGCCACACCTACCGTCAACATTCAGCAGCAAAATGCCATGGGAGGTTGGGACTGGAACAGACCTGCCACCACAAACACAGGTACACACACAACCACTCAAAACACTGACGGACAAACCAGTTTTTTTGCTACTACTAAAATCCATTGGCTAAGCAACTATCATATATGTGCACTGAGACATTTGTCTACATTTACAGGAGACATCATGCTGAATTAGTGGAAAGTGTGCCTCTAAATATGTGAATTAAAGATGTAGCAAATGGCTTTTCAATCTCAAAGAGCAGCACTGTTTGCTGTCACCTGTTGAAAGCTTAATTGTGGCGTAGATTGTCTGCTGAAAAATCTGGAATGTCAGTCCTTTTTTCTTGAGGATTTTAATATTTCTCCAAACTGTACACTAAGCTGTCTGTTTAGTGTACTGTAAAGCAGTCTTGGGATCTTTGCTCTTCTATTTTAAATAATAAATCACTCATTGATTTAGAAATAGCATCACAACATACTTTTTGAAGTCAGATGTTGATCGCTCCTCAAGTACTGGACAGTGGATTTCTGTTAATTCAAATATTTATTTTACCTCATTAATTGCTTCCACATTTCCTGTGCGTGAGTCTGAGAAGAAGAGATATGCAATCTGAGAAAAAAACATTTGCAAAATATTTCCATCTGCTGGATTTGATTGGCATGTTCTGCATTGTTGAGTGCAACCTAAGAAATGGGAGGGAATTAAGGTTGCACAGTTTCATGAATTCTTTTTTTTTTTTTTTTTTCAATTTTTTTGTGGAGGGGGGGGTTTTGGTATTGGCAGTCGATCAGCCACTACCAGTCCGACAGGTTCAGTCCACAGCACGCCCACCCACCAAACTAAGCCAAACACCTTGGATCCATTCGCCGACATCGGAAACCTGTCTGGAAGCCTTGGAGGTCTGACTCCAAAGATTTGCTCTAAATTTTTTGTCACATTTTATACTGGCCAGTTTACCACCATTTCTGTCTTTACCCTCAGGTGCTTCTGGATTCTCCAGCAAGCCCACCACTCCAACAGGAACAACTCCGTCCTTCCCACCAATGGGTTCCCCGTCGCGGCCGCAGCCGTCCCCTCAGCACACAGGAGGCTGGCAGCCCCACACGGGAGCCAACTTCTCCTCCTGGCAGCCCAGCGCCGGAGGTGGCGGAGGCTGGCAAGCCCAAGGACAGGGTCCGACTGCCCAACCAAAGCCCAGCCCCAGCCACACCTCCATTCCTCACACATCGCCTCAGAATCGACCCAACTACAATGTTAGCTTCTCGGCGATGGGAAGAGGCTCTCCGAGCGCGGGGGGCAAACCACAGGCGGGAACGGGTAAATAAATCATGTTGACTCTTGAGCTGTACACAGTGCTGTTAGAGTGAGAGGTTGTAATTAAAGATTTATTTCTAGAAAATTTTCAAAATATAAGTTATAAAGGGTTTCGCTTGAAATGCAAAACAAAACCAAGCTGACAAAGAACTTTTCACCAGCTGGCATTTGAAATATATTTGACTGCTCTGTGTTATAATTACAAACACTGAGCCCTGTGGTACTCACAAAGTAAATGAGGTTTGCAATGAAAATGTATAATTATCCACTACCAGTCCCACAGGTTCACTCCACCTGACATGAGTGTTATTTTTTAGTGTATTTTGACAGTCATTAATTGTAATAAACTGAGATATGTTAGTCTTTGTGATGTTTTTAACATCTAGATTTCAGAGTTTTAATTAAATAAGATTCATATTTTTTACTTTTGGTTACTATATGACAACAGGTTGTGTTATTGTAATTGCAGGTGTTAAAAAGCTTTATTCCATGCTTTTGTGTTTCAGGTTGTAAGCCCAGAGCTTCGGATGCTAACTTTGATGACCTGCTGTCCGGTCAGGGATTTGCAGGGACCAAAGAGAAAAAAGGCCCCAGGACAATAGCAGAGATGAGGAAGGAGGAAATGGCCAAAGAGATGGACCCAGAGAAAATTAAGGTGCGAACACCAACAAACATAAAAATATTCTTACTCCATCTTATTTCCTTTAAGGTCTGATATTTTTAAACCCATTAACTTAGAAGTGAGTTGGTAAGTTTACAAAGCAATTGGCTGTCACAGCCTCAGAATTTTTTCCAGAGTTAATGAAGCAGTCAGTGTTGGTTTTCTGCTGCCAAACTTTGGTTCATCTAATTACTCCTTTTGAGATCCACCAGAGCCAGAACTGCTGAAAGAGGTTTTGTTAATAATTGTTTCAACTCTGGTCCTTACTGGCCAATGGCGCCTCCGTCTCTGCGCTCCCTTCAACTTGTGACACAGATTTTGGACTGGATCGAGGGGAAGGAGCGTAACATCCGCGCCCTGCTGTCCACCATGCACACGGTGCTTTGGGAGGGGGAGACACGCTGGAAGCCAGTGGGCATGGCTGACCTGGTTACCCCGGAACAGGTCAAGAAGGTTTACCGCAAAGCAGTGCTGGTTGTTCACCCTGATAAGGTGAGGAACATGATTAACAGGAAAGACCCTGTGTGTACATGAAAACCTTTTAAAATTTAGCTTAGGCCAAATTGTTTTCCTGTTAAGCTGTTTTACAATAATGTCTTATTTTGGATCTATGAAGAAAAATCAACTACTTTTACTTTCTTCATATAAAATCAAGTTGACTTTTGGTCCTTTTTCGGCTTGATTTAATAAGACATCGCAAAATGAAGTGTTTGCATATTTTACCAAAAGTCTTCTAATTGTAGATTTACTGCAAAGTGGTTATTTTTGCAAATTAAAACATAAAATCTATTAGTTTTTTATACTAACAGCCGACTTTACAAACAAAAGTGGACATAGAATCATAATTTCATGGTGATATATGTTAATTTAGAAAAAGTAAAATCAGTTATTTCCGTGTCCAGCAGAAAAAGCAACTTTAATTTGAAGGTGTACTGCCAGTGGATTTTTATAAATATGTAATTTGGTGTTTTTCCGCTTTCTGCCTTGTACCTTGCTGAATATTTTATTGTGGACGACATTTTTCATATTTTACATCATTAAAATACACACAGGAACCCATCAGAAAACCTGACTGTGACAAGTCAACTAAATATAAAAAGTAAAGCAATATAACTGTTGCAACTAAACTGCTATATACTTCAATCTTAATACAAATAAAAAGTGTAAATATTGAAAATTCACATGTTTAATTGTGATACTTATTAAACACCTTAAATCAGAGGTTCCCAAACTGTGGGGCGCGCCCCCTAGGGGGGGCGCCGTGCCATTGCAGGGGGGGCGCGGGAAGCCGTTTGAATGAAAAAAACCCAAAAACAAACAAACACAAAAAAAACATGAACGCTGTATGCGCTGGGTTTTTACCTTAGAACAGCCAACTCTCTGTTATTCCTCTGTAAATTTGATGCAGTAGGGGCTTCCACACTTCCCATATCTGTGTCCTCTGTCACTTTTATCAGCAGTTAAAACCGTTTAATCCGTTGTTAACATGCTGTAACCTGTTTTTCCGAGCCGCCTTTAAACGCAACACCTGTGCGGCAGTGAAGGAGACCTGCTGCTGCTGTGCAGAGCTACGCAGGTGTGTTAGAATCATGACAGCAAACCAGCAAAACGCAAAGAACTTTTCACAGTTTTTCCCCCAAACTGACCGACTGAGTTGAGTAAAGCTGTTGGATGCAGGTAATGTTAGCTAAAGGATGACTAGCTAGCAAATATCCATACAGCACCTTAAGCTTAACAAGTAGCCTGTAGGCTACCGATGTTGTTGTATATGTTCAGCTACATACATTAATTTTGCTCCCAAAAAAGTCGAAACCCCCCCTCGCCCACCCCCAAGGGGGCAGGGACAGGGAGAGGGACGGGGGGCCCAGAAAATGTTTAGAAACCACTGGGGGGGCGCAGGAGAAAAAGTTTGGGAACCACTGCCTTAAATAATTAAATTTTTTAGGATTATATGTCTCTAAACCTCAGAAGCAGAGGCCCCATCTCACCCTGTATGTGCAAGAGGAAGGGGTTACATTGATATCTTCAACAAAATGGGTTTTTTCATGATACTAAATATTTGGTGCCAAGACAAATTACCAGTTACTTCTTTTCACAAGACAGTGAGAATTTTATTATCCTTTTCCTTTACCTGCACAATAATTTTTTCATACATGACACAAAGAGTGACAACACGACAATACAAACAACCACAACAAGAAGTACCTGAATGACATTATGACTGAGGGATTCAAATACTTGTTTTAAAAAGTCAAACATGGAGCTTCCTTCCTGATGGACGGATTTCGCTGTTTCTTGAAGGTGGTTGACTATTTCATGTATTGTGATGTTGTAATCAGGAACAAAAGTGCAGCATTCAGATCCGATGACAGCACAAGTTCCTCCCTGAGCGGCTAACAGAAAGTCCAGGGCGGCTCGGTTTTGCAAAGCTAGAAGTCTAACGGAGGCGAGCTCATTCGACATGAGTGTGAGGGCCTTCCCAGTTTCGTTAGCTATCACTTCTATAGCCTTGGACAGAGCAGCAATCTGATCTAAAGCAGACATGACTCCGTAAAAAGGAAGAAGTGTGCCAAGAGCATTTTTAAAAGGCGACTGATTGTGTGTTCCGAGAAAATCGGAAATTCCACGTCGTGCTCGCTTGAGAAAAGTTTTCTGCGGCAGGGAGCGCGTCACCCTCATTGCTGGGACCACGTATCCCAGTCCGCAGCGTCCATTGTAGTCCACCGGAAGATAGGGGTAAGCGAGGGTCCCACACACCCAGTACATGCCAACAGGAGAGGAGATGGAGCAGGTGGCTGTGCGGGAGGCCAAAGCATTCATGTGAGTCGCTCCTGCTGCATCCAGACACTGATGGGGAGCGGCATTAAAAGCTTTCCAGTCAGTTTCCCTCCGTCCTGAGCCCCACTTAAACGTGCGAAGGCAGTCCGATTGTCCCACTGGAACGTGGCCGTTGTTCTCCAAACACCAAGTGAACCTCTGAGGGAGGACAAAGATGGGAACCGGTTTGGGGGTTTGGAGACATCTGTTGCAGTTCCCACGTCCTTTTGCACAGTCAAGCGGTCTCATTTTCAAACTCGGGCAGTTGGGGTGAGAATAGGAGCTGGGCTGGTGAATGTGCATCAAGTGGCACGTGTCACAGTCCGAGGCGGGCAGGACCATGAGAGGTAAACCCTCGCCAGCAGTGTAGGGCATCAGGCCGCAGACGTAGCAGCTGGAGTTCGGACGCAGGTGGTTGGCCACTTGCCACGCCATGGTCAGGAAAATGTTTCTGTCGTCTCTTTTTAAGTCTGGGAATTTTATGTGCTGCAGAGCTCTGGTGGGGGTTACCACCAGCATCAGTATCAGGAGCTCAAAGTAAAAATACATTTTTGTTGTGGAAGCAAAAGTCCTCCTCTGTTCATATAAAAGCAAGAACCTGGAGAAAGTCGAACATTAGTGCCACCAATAAAAGACAGATGATACCTGTAAGATAAAAAAAGAACAATTCACAGTTGGACTCTTGGAATAAACTGAGTTACATTTTAGGAATAAACAAAGTAAATGTACAGAAATTTGTCTTTACCTGCAGAGTCAGTCAGGATTTCTACTTTTGTTTCTGAAGCAACTGCTCCAGCATGCTTGCATCGAGGAGAAAATGCAATACCTGCCTTTATCTTATCTGTCCTCTTTTTTTACTGGACAAAAGCAGAAACAAAAGATTAAGTTTTCCCAATCAGAGGGGGTAGTGAAGCAGTCACAAGGCCCCTGATTGATCACTGGAAGAAATCGGGATATCAGGATTGTTCTAAAGGGTTAGTGACTGCTTCAGGCCAGATGGTATGAAAATGTCTGTTATACAACAGTCGTTCACAAACCCTTTCTATCATCTACCCACCAATTTTTACAACTGTTTTCCATTCTTTTGTCATAAAAAGAACAACAAAATATAATTCTTAGTGCACGATTAGTTGTAGGATATATATTTGTTCTATTTATGCGTAGAGGCTTAAAATGCCAGAGTTTGTGTGAATTGAAAGAAATTTAAAGATAAACTTATTTTCCAAGCACTGGAATAAATGGGAAAAATATATGAAGCAATATGTGCCGGGAATGAATAAGATTAATAATAACACTTTAAATTGGAGTAAATGTAGATATTATATGTGTAGTAAATTAAGTAAGATGAGAAGATGAGGTGATGCTTCCCCGTCTTGCTCACCTTTTAGATTTATCTTGTGTCCAAGCTTTCATATTTAATATTAAAGCACCATGTTTGTGTGCCAAAAAAAGAGAAAAGTAGTAGTAATACAGACTTTAAGATGTGACAGCTATTTTCCTTTGCTCCTGCTTCACAGGCAACAGGACAACCTTATGAACAATATGCCAAGATGATTTTCATGGAACTGAACGATGCCTGGTCAGAATTTGAGAGCCAAGGACAAAAGCCTCTCTACTCCTAAAAGCAAGTGAAAAGAAGTGAGCAACGTCAGGATGCTCCTTCCAGTTCTGTGTTCTAACCCCTAAAAGTGTCACCACCTTTGAAATGACTCACCATGTAACATCATCTGCCTTTATACCTGCGCTTTCACTCGGATTGCTCCTTTTGCCCAAAACTCCTAACATCGGTGACGGCAACAGACGACCAGACAGACAAAAGAAGCGTCGCTGAACACAGACGTATGCTCTCTGTACGTACAGTATGTGGTGCAACAGCAACAAAGCTCAATGACCCCTTCCCTGACCCCTCAGATCAACTCAATCAAACCAACAGAGACGTCTGGCACACGGAGCTGTTTGAAAACAGGATACCGCAGGATAAGAGAAAAACAAATCAGGGAGCACATTCAGCAGATATTTCATCGACTGCTCCTTGTCAGAGCTACAGAGATAGCAGATGCTCTTACTGTAAGGCACAACAAGCATTTATATGCATTTATGTTAGCTGGAATGTAGAGTTTGCTCTTTGATCTGTGTGAAAATGCATTCAGGGTCTGTTGTGAAATCCAATCCATAGGAAGGGTAAATTAAAAGGCAGCAACATCAAGTTACTGTAAAATTATCTGAAGGTAGGTTTTTATTCCACCAAACATTTTTTGTTCGTTGAAATACCATCAATATGTGTTCAGCAGAATTAAGATTTGATGAGTTTTCTGAGATTTTATTTTATTATTATTTTTTTTTTTATCACTTTTGCCTTGTCAAGTTAATGCGGTGTAAAGACATTCCTGGAGGATGTGTTGATGCCATTCTTTATTTCATGATGGTGTTCCCAGGCAAAACTGTGAGTGTACTAGAGAGAACCCCATCCATGAATGCTTTACTTAAAGCAGCTACCAACATGTCTTTTTGGAAAAGTTGCTTTTCCAGATGTCTCAAACAGTTTTAAATGAGGCTTCAGTCGATAAAATAACTTTACTTAATTCCTCCAGCCCATTCCTGGTACTTCATGTAAAACGTTGGTCTTTCCTTGATGTTTGTGTTCGCCTCACATGGGAAAACACCCACACATCCCTGCTGCCATCCCTGAGTAAGCTCTGCACTCATGGCAATTTCTTCTCCTTGAATTTGTTGATGATTTGACACATTGCTTGTTTGTGTGCATTCTTAATATGTGAGGCTATTCACATGCAAACCAATGATGATGGCCTGTGCTTCCGTGGAGATGATAATGACTGACAAAGTAAGATTTAGAGAGACACTCACTTTTAAAGCAACTATTGTGTTTTTCTAATTCAATCAGAGCCGTCTGCTGCCCCGTCCTTGTTAACACTTTGCTCTGAGCTGATTATAAAATCACTGAATCATTTTTGTGGCAGAACTAAAACACATCATGAGTTCGTTTTTTTTTGTTTTTATTAAATTTGCAGTAATTGGTTTTAATCTAATAAGAAGCAACTTTAAGACAGTAGCTGTCTACTTAGTGAAAAAACTTCTCTGAGCTTTTTGACTGATTCCTGACGGGCTTTCATTTCTGCTAATTACATGATAATGGGTGTGTATGTTTAAAATAATTGGTTCTTAGATAAAAAAAATGTGAAAAGAAATAACACTTTTTTCTGACTACTGATTCTTTCTGTAAGCTGGGATTTGTATATTGTAGGACTGTAAAGTACCTCATGCGTAGCCTCATAAAGTAATATCAATTTGCAAATGAAAACCTGTGAAAGCACAAACAGTTTTAATGTACTTAAAAAAGGAGCTGATGCTTGATCAAATTACAAAGCAATACGCCTGAATGACATAAATACATCTGTATGTTTGCTAAATGAGTTGTGCAACAATTAATCTTAATTTTATAACTTAATCATATCAGCCATGCTGTTTGAGTTCAGTTTGTCTTCAGCCAGACAGGCAAAATTAAAAAAAAACAATTTGCTCATATCAACACAACACATATTTGTTTCACTAAACTGATAATCCCACACAATGACTGCATTTACCTAGAAAAAGCCATGTGAGGAACCAGACGTTAATCAGGAGAAAGAAGCAAACCTAAATAGATTTTATTGGATAAATCTTGATTTATTGCACCATCAGTCAAAAAATTAAAGCAAAGACGTAAAACATTTTACACATTTTTACTGATTTTGTTTGTTTCGTTCATTATTTTGATATTACTCCATCACCTCTTGAAATTGGATTTTACCCTTAATAACTCATATCTTCAAAATAACGAGGAACTGAACTTTAAGAATTTTATTGTTTTCACTTCATATGTGTTGTTTACTTTGATGAGACATTTGTTTCCATTTTGCACAGTTTCATATCAACGGTAAAGTGCAGGAGGCTTGACTTAGGGAAGTGTTTGAAATTGTTTCATTCCAACCTAACTTTTGTGAGATTTGTTCCATTAATATCAGCTACAATTGTTCTTCAGTTTGTTTTGGAGCTGTTTTTACTTATGACACTGTTTCCTCATATGGAAATTGTTTAATAATTATAATAATGTCCATGAAAACTTAAAACACTATAAGGCAGATTTCGACCAGGGTAAACCCGAACTTTTGGCCAAGCTGAGGTGTGACCTGATGGAGTTGGATGGACACGGCACCACAGAGATGTTGAGTTGGATTTAGGTGAGGTGTGTTTGGGCTCCAGGAACTGTCTGGATACTCTTGCCACATGAGGCCTGGCAATTTCGCACACCAGGAGAAACCCAGGACCCAATGCACCAGTGTAGATTCTTCAACTGATACCTAATGGTCGTCTGATAGAGGTCAGAGTACCATCAGTGGATCTCCTACAGCCCCGCTCAGCTCTCTAATGACTACGCCAGGAGTCTCCGACCGTAGTCCTCAAGAGCTACCGTCCTCCAGGTTTTGGATGTATCAATTCTCCACACACATGAATCAAATGAATGACTCATTACCAGGCCTTTGCCAAACTTGATTACCACTCTGAAGAGGTAATTCAATCATTTGTTTCAAATGTGTTGGGTCAGGGATCTATCTAAAACCTGCAGGACAGCAGCTTTCAAGGACTAAAACCGGAGATTCCTGGAATCAGCTCCATGCTTTTGAGACACAGCAAACCTTTTGTGCTGAGTTTCAACCTCTGCATGGTCCAGTTATTACTTAATTCAACCAGGAGCACAGCAACACTGTTTTTGCATTTGGTTTTTACACATTGGAACGCTTAACAAATCCAATGAAATGTCAATAAATTCCTGCACTATTTGTCATTTAACATTCTGGTTAAAATGTGTTATTAGGATTTGGGTTTCTTCGTATTTTCCAGGTAGGGAAGGAAGAACATATGTACTTCAATTCTGATCCCAGATTGAATTTCCTTCTACGGGTTTTACAGTTTACATTTACAGTCTGACTGTTGCAGAAAAAAAATCTCTAATGCAGCGCTGGCCAAAGTCGGTCCTCGAGGGCCAGCATCCTGCGTGTTTTAGTTCTCTCCCTGGTTTAGCGCACCTGGATCAAATGATGGCTCATCAGAGGCCTAAGAAGAACATTGACATGCTGAAAAGGTTGTTATTTCCAGCAGGGAGAGAACTAAAACATGCAGGATGCTGGCCCTCGAGGACCGACTTTGGGTACCACTGCTCTAATGGGTTCACAGTAAAGTTGTTTTTTTTTTTCCAATTTATGCAAACAACATTAACTGCAAATGTCTGGAAAAGTATGGTTTTTGACATGCATAGTATGGAGGAATTGTTTTGCTTATGTAAAACAAGCTGTAAGTTTTATTTTATTCCCAGGTTAACTACCCGATAATTGGAAATCATGCAACTGTTTTACATTGCTCAAAAATACCTGGACAAATTAAGCATTACATTTGCATTCATGTCCTCATAAATAGATACCATTCTTGACACTCATGTTGTCTTAATGTAATTGAGCGGTTAGATGAGAATTATACTTTACTTTGTGCTTTCCAGTCAGTTTCACCCATAGAGAACTTTCATTCAGGAGGAAAGGTTTTGTTTGGAGTCCTTGAAAGACAGCAGGTCTCAGACTGAAACTAAACTTGAAGCTGATGTTTTGTGTTTTCTTTTATTTGAGTGTACCTGATGAAGAGAACTGTCTGTTATCTATTTACACCGAGGACCTAAATGTGAAACGACCCTTGCTAACCCCACCGCTGACTGATAGTGCAGTCTTACAGCTAACCTCTGTACTGTAATCAGTCCATGTGTGTTGTTTGAAGCTGTGGTATGTCTGAGTCAGATTTGACTACTTTATGTCACGTGTTTGCCTGTCTGCTGTTCAAGTATTAATTAATTGTGTAAAATTTTTGTTCATGTATTTTCTTTTTAGGTTCTGTTTACTGTTACAGGATGTATATAATGAACATGTGCAGTGCACAAAAATAAACAGTAAACAGAGTGAAATATCAGTGTTTTCCTTGTATTTTCCCTTCCTGATTGCAATTCTCATTTTTAAACGCAAGATGGCAGCAAAAGCGACACAAACTGTTTGTGCTGTGCATTGTACCTCCTATTTAAAATTACTTTAAAAAGAAAAAATAAACTATTGACATAAACATGGCAAATATAATATTTTGTCATATTCATATGTATTTTATTTTACATGAATTTGTATATCAGTTCATGAACATAAATGTATCTGACAAAAAGATAAAAATAAGACATGATGGATTTAAGCTTTCAACATACTGTTTGTATTATTTAATTAATATTTATAGGGCATTTTATCTACCTGAAATGAAAAGTTAATGCACAGTGCAGATGCTGCTGGTAAACTAAAGCAACCTGCTGCATTTCAGTTCTGCTGCTTACTTTTTGTGAGCCATATGATGAGTAACAGGTGGAAAAGTTTCTCCTTGGGACATCACGTCTGGGAGAAACAGGACTTTGGCGCTGCCGTCTTAAGGAACTTGGGTATAATTGGAAAATGACTGCATCATTGTAAAAAAAAGATCAGTGATGCACAGCTCAGTTCAGTTTTTCCTTCTTTCTTTTCCATTCTACTCTCTCCTGACAGCGCTGACGCACTTCTTGTGCTGGGTAAGTGCTTAAGGACGTTAACAATTAGCAAAAGCTGATATTTTATGTCCTGCATCCCAAGAGATGTGAGGGTAATTCTGACACACGAATTTAAATGCCCCTCTTTTTTTCCTCTGCAGTCATTAAGTGAGATTCAACACACAGTTACACTTCCACAATCTGGCCATAAATACTGAAAATGTTTATCTGAATATTTAAGTAGTACAATTCATAAAACTACAATCAACTCTATAACCATAAAGTATGCAACACCAAATTCTAAAGGGTTGCTTGGATGTTTTCTCTGTTTATGCAGAGTAGAGGGAAAAAAATTAGGGGGATGTCCCAAAATTAGGACAACCTAATTTGCCCCACATGTTTAGGGAGGGAACCCCCTCCCCTCAAACATGTGTTGATACGGGTAAACCAAGTCGCATAAACATGTAAAACTGTTAAGCAGGTGTTCTCATAAAATTCCCCAGACATTTAAAACCTAATAAATTACATTATGTTAATCTTGTGACTAAATTACCTCAAAATTCACTCTACAAGGGTTCATTTTGCTTTGAATTTAGTTTACATGGTAAAAGCATATCAACACTTAAATGTTTCTGTTTTCACACATTGGTTCTACTGCTGACATATCTGAGAAACAATGTTGCTATCTGATTTTTTTTTTTTTTCCCAGAAGACATAAGTATAACGTAAACAGTTACAGCATGCAGACAACATTTACTGTTGCAGTTCTCTCAGCTGGGAAATGTTCAAGTCTCAAGAGATGCTTCTGCTTCAGTCTAGGAACTCATTAGGAGCCCAGAAAGTCTGTTTTCACATGGCCTCTTGACTGAATGGTCATTAAAATAAATACCTGCAGATTTTTAATGAAAAAGTTTTGGTCCATTAGACATAATTGTTGGATGTAGATTCAAAGTCTATCACCTTGATAATGAATGTTGACATTTGTAAATACGTGTAGAACAGAACTGGAAAAAACCCATAATTAAACATGTTGCTTTTTGTCTTATCTGTCATGGGTGTATGGGAAAAAAACAAAACAAACAAAAGAGACTCCTGAGAATGTTATTTTTAGCCATCCAGATCTGAAGTTGTTTCTGGAAATGGTCTGTTGTTTTTCTTATCAGTTTGCTTGCATTCAGAGAAAATTCTTGACCAGAACATAAGGAAATAAATGTTTACATTTTTAAAAGCATCCCTCAGGGAGTGTATTTTAAGAGTGGAGATAAAACTTTGCCAAAAAAAAAAAATCGGTTTTTCTGGGTTTGTTCCCAATTTTTATTTTTATTTTCTTTCAATATTTTAAGTGGGCAAGTTAAATGAAACTCTTTGGCTTCCTTCACTTCTTTATGCCTTTGTGTTTAACGACCCATAAGTCAATTTATTTCTGGTGATTAAAATTCAGACGTCAGATCCAAA